CCCTCCCCTCCTCTGCATTTCCATATTTTTTTACTATTTACTTTCTCTGAACAGAATCTTTGCAGATTCACTTTGAACCTGAAGCAGCCACTACACCTCCTGCTCCTGCTCCTGATGGTAAGTCTTTGAAGCAATTAGAATTACTTGAATGTGGGTTCAGAGCCAGCATCTCCCTTCCTGCTGCACCGCTTCTGTAGGTAAATACAAGACTTAATTGCAAACATAATGAAACAGAATAACTGGTGTTAACAGAGAGATTGTGAGACTTTTCTCAGAAGAGAAAGGGTATGGTGAATGCTAACATAGAGATAAAAATTTGTACTGCATTTTTTTTATTATTGCTCCTTATTTTATTCCTCCTTATTTCCTTGGATATTTCCTTGAATATTTTTAGTTTGGGTTTGATTGCTTGGTTGGTTAGATTTTTTGTTTTGGGAGAGTGGTGGTGTTGGTTGGGTGTGTTTTTGGTTTATGGGGGGTTTTTTTGGGGGGGGGGGGCACTGTTTTAATTTTTTTCTTTTTTTGTTTCTTTTTACCAAAGATTTTTTCCTTCCTTTCTGTTATAAACCAATAATATTTTTGTAATGGCCTTTCCTTGCAACCACAACCATTTCAGTGCTGTGAATTTCCTAATTCTTTAAAATTTAAAAATTTCTTAATTTTAAAATTATTTTCTCTGCATAGAATCCTTTTGGCGTCGTATTGGGCGTCAGTTAGTCAAAACATCTCCTGTTCATGCTCGTGATAGTGAGGGTAAGTCTGCCTTTCAAGCAATTAGAGTCATTTAGATATGGGTTCCCAGACAGCATCTCCCTTCATGCTGCACAGCTTCTGTAGGCAAATACAGTAAGACTTAATTACAAACATTATGACACAGAATAGCTGGTGCTAACAGAAATGTTGTGAGACGTTTCTCAGAAGAGAATGGGGATGGTGAAAGCTAACAGAGGGATTAAAATTATTACTGTATTTTTTTTTCTTATTTCTTTGAATATTTGATTTTAGTTTCAGTTCAGTTGCTTGGATTTTTTGTTTTGGGAGAGTGGTGGTGTTGGTTTGGTGTGTTTTTGGTTTATGGGGTTTTGTGGGGGGGTTTTTTTACTGTTTTAGATTTTCTTTCTTTCCTTTTTTTTACCAAAGGTTTTTTCCTTCCTTTCTGTTATAAATCAATAAAATTTTTCTAATGTTCTTTCCTTGCAACCACAACCATTTCAGTGCTGTGAATTTCCTAATTCTTTAAAATTTAAAAACTTCTTAATTTTAAAATTACTTTCTCTGCATAGAATCTTTTTGGCGTCGTATTGGACACCATCTAGCCAAAACACCTCCCGCTCATGCTCGTCACAGTGATGGTAAGTCTGCCTTTCAAGCAATTAGAGTCACTTGGATATGAGTTAAACCCAGCATTTCCCTTCATGCTGCACAGATTTTGTAGGCAAATACAACAACACTTAAATGTAAACCTAATGGAGCAATAAAACTAGTGTTAACAGTGCCACTCTGAGACTTTTTTCAGAACAGAATGGGGATGGTAAAAGCTAACACAGGGATTAAAATGGATACTCATTTGTTGTTTTTTTTTTTTTTTCTATTGGTCCTTAGTTGCTTGGATATACTTCAGTTTTAGTTTTAGTTTGGATTTGGTTGCTTGGTTGGTTGGATGTTTTTGGTTTTGGGGAGTGGTGGCTATCTGTGTTTTGATTTTTTTTTATATTATTATGTTTAATTCCCTTCCTTGGCTCCTGCCTTCCTGCCTTCCCTACCTCCTTCCCTCCTTCGTTCTATTTTTCCTTTCTTTTCTGTTATAAATCATTAACATTTTTGTAATAACCTTCCCTTGCAAACACAACCCTTTCAGTTCTGTGTATTTCCTTGCATTTTTAAATTTTACTTTCTCTGAAGAAAATTTGCTTTCCCTGAACAGAATCTGTTGGGCCTCGCTTTGTGCCCAAAGGAGCTGCTGCACCTCATGGTTCTGAAAGCGATGGTGAGTCTGCTTCTCAAGCAATTAAAGTCACTTGGATGTGAGTTCTGAGATAGCATCTCCCTTCATGCTGCACAGCTTCTGTAGGCAAATACAGCAATATTTAATTGGAAACATAACAGAGCATTAAAACTCATGCTAACAGAAATATTCTGAGACATTTTTCAGAAGAGAAAGAGGGTGGTGAAAGCTAATACAGGGATTAAAATTGCTACCATAATTTTTTTTCTATTGATCCCTATTTTCCTGGGTATTTTATTAGTTTCTGTTTGGGTTTGGTTGTTTGGTTGCTTGGATTTTTTGGTTTTGCAGAGCAGCAGTATTGGGTGTGTGTTTGGTTTTTGACTTTTTTAATACTGCTTTTAATTTTTTTCCTATTTTATACTCTTTTTTTTTTTTCCCCCAAAGACTTCTTCCTTTCTCTAGGTTATAAGCCATTAATGTTTTTATAATCATTATTCCTTGCAAACGTAACCATTTCAGTTCTGTGCATTTCCTTGCTTTTTAAAATTTTCCTTCTCTGAAGTAAACTTACTGTCTCTGAACAGATATTTTTCTGGTTAGCGTTGCACCCCAAGCAGCCGTTACACCTCCTACTCCTGCTTCTCCTCCTGATGGTAAGTCTGGTTTTCAACCAATAATAGTCACTCAGATGTGGGTTCCTAGACAGCATCTCCCTTCATGCTGCACAACTTCTAAGGCAAATACAACAACCCCTTAAGTGCAAAGAAAACGGATTAATAATATTAATGCAGACAAAACTTTTGGAGGCTTTTTCAGAGAAGAAAGGGGATGCTGAAAGCCAGCACAGGAATTAAATTACTGCTGCAATGGGTTTTATTGCCTACTGGTCATTAATTTGCTTAAATATTATGGATTTTAGTTTGGTTGCTTGTTTGGTTGGATATTTTTGGTTTTGGGGAGTGGAGATTGTGGGTGAGTTGGTATTTGGTTTTTGATCTTTTTCATTTATTACTTCTTTTAATTTCTTTTTTTTTTCAACCAAAGCCTTTTCGTTTCTTTCTGTTATAAACCATTAACATTTATGTGATAGTGTTTTCTTGCAAATATAACTATTCCCATTCTGTGTACTTCCTTGGTTTTTAAAATTTACCTTCTCTGAACAGATATTTTTCAGCCTCACCTTTCACCTCAAGCAGCCAGTACACCTGCTTCTCCTACTCCTGCTTCTGGTGGTAAGTCTGCTTTTCAAACAGTTAGAGTCACTTGGATGTGTGAGCTAAACCCAGTAATTCCTTTCATGCTGCTCAACCTCTAAGGCAAATACAGTACTTAAATGTTAACCTAATGGAACAATAAAACAGGTTTTGACAGAAATGTTGTAAAACTTTTCAAAGAAGAGAAAGGGGATGGTGAAAGCTAACATAGAGTTTAAAATTACTATCATAAATTTTTTGTTTGTTTTTTTTCTTTCAATTTGCTTAGAAATTTTATATTTTCAGTTCTGGTTTGGTTCCCTTATTGAGATTTTTGATTTTGGGGAGTGGTGGATGTGTTGTATGATGTTTGGTTTTGGTTTTTCCTACTACTAATATTATTATTATTAACTTGTTTGTTTCTTTGTTTGTTCAGTATATTTATTTATATTTTATTCTTTTATTCCTTTCTCTTTCTACTTTTTTTTTTTTTTTCCTAATAAAGTTGTTTGTTTCCTTTCTGGTATAAATCATTAATATTTTTCTAACAGTATTTCAACCACTACAGTTCTCTGCATTTCCTTGGTCTTAAAAATTTACCTTCTCTGAAGTAAATTTACTTTCTCTGAACAGAATCTTTTCAGCTTTCCTTTGTACCCCAAGGAACCAGTACACCTCGTGGCCCTGCTCCTGATGGTGAGTCTGCTTTTCAAGCAATTAGAGTCACTTGGATGTGGGTTCAGAGCCAGCATCTCCCTTCCTGCTGCACAGATTCTGTAGGCAAATACAGCAATACCTAATTGTAAAGATAAAGGAGCAATAAGACTGATGATAACAGAAATGTCCTGAGACATTTTTCAGAAGAGAAAGAGGATGGGGAAACCTAACTCGGGGATTAAAATTTTTTTCAGGGAGATTTCAGAATAAGTTTTTTCCCTTGATTAAAACCATGGGAATTAGGAATTCTAATGGTGAGGGGAAAAAGGTGTCTGTAAGTATTTGTAGCAAATAAAGTGCTATTGCTTTCCAGCCCTTCCTAGGGCAGGATACTTTTGCTAAACGTCCTTTGTCTATTAAAGATTAATATCTATAATCAGATGCCCTGTGTTTCAAAGAAGCATTTAAGAAAACAAGCAAAAACTTAGACGTTCCTCAAATATGTACGTTTTTGAGAGGTATTTAACAACAAATACAGATTTTTCTCAATTTCTTTTTTATTCTTTCATTTTTTTTATTCCAGTACATAGGGGAGAGCCTAGACAAAGAACCTACGTTTTGTCTGGAACCGACACAACCCCTGGTGTATCACCCTACAGGACCTACATTTTGTCTGGAACCAACACAACCTCTGGTGTGTCACCCTACAGAACCTACACTGTGTCGGGAACCATCATAGCATTTCCTTGCAACCACAACCATTTCAGTTCTGTGCATTTCCTTGGTCTTAAAATTTACCTTCTCTGCGGTAAATTTACTTTCTCTGAGCAGGACCTTTCTGGCTTCCCTTTGTACCCCGAGGAACCAGTACACCTCGTGGTCCTGCTCCTGATGGTGAGTCTGCTTTTCAAGCATTTGAGTCACTTGGATGTGAGTTCAGAGCCAGCATCTCTCGTCATGCTGCACAGGTTCTGCAGGCAACTATAACAATAGTCAAGTGCAAAAATAATGGAGCAATATAACTAGTTGTAACAGAAATGCTCTGAGACATTTTTCAGAAGAGAAAGGTAGTGGTGAAAGCTAACACGGGGATTAAAATTTTGTCAGGGAGATTGCAGAATAAGCTGGTTTGCTTGATTAAAAATCTCACCATAGCAGTTATAATGATGTGGGTAAAATATGTCTTTAAATATATTAAATATATATCTATGTATCTATATCTATCTATATCTATCTATCTATCTATCTATATATCTTAAAATATAGAGCTATTGTTTTTCAACCCTTCCTAGGGCAGGATACATTTGCTAATGTCCTTTGTCTATTAAGGATTAGTATCTATAATCAGGTGCCCTGTGTTACAAATAAGCTCTCAATACAAGAAGCAAACAATTACAAGTACTTCAAGTACATGCCTTAGTGAGATAGATTTCACAATAAATGTAGATTCTCCCTTGATTTGTTGTTTTCATTTTTATTCCAACACATGGAAGAGAGTGTAGACAAAGAACCTGCATTGTGTCTGGAACCAACACAACCCCTGGTGTGTCACCCTACAGAACCTACACTGTGTCTGGAACCAACATAGCCTTTCCTTGCAGCCACAACCATTTCAGTTCTGTCCACCTACTTGTTTTTTAAAGTTTACCTTCTCTGGAGTAAATGTACTTTCTCTGAACAGAATCTTTTCGGCTTTCCTTTGTACCCCAAGGAACCAGTACACCTCGTGGTCCTGCTCCTGGTGGTAAGTCTGCTTTTCAAACAATTAGTCACTTCAATGTGTCTTCAGGGCCAGCTTCGTGCTGCACAGTTTCTGTATGTACATACAATATAAGTTAAGTGCAAGGATTGCGGAGCAGAAAAGTAGTGCTAAGAAAACCATTCTGGGCCACGTTTCAGAAGAGAAAGGCGATTTTGAGCACTAACATAGAGATAAAAATTTGTACTGTAATTTTTTTATTCAATCGGTCCATATTTGTGGGGATATTTTCTGCTTTAGTTTTGGTTTGGTTGCTTGATTGGTTGGTTGGATTTTTGGTTCCTTGTTTGGTTGGTGTTACTTTGGAGAGTTGTGGTGGTAGGGAGAGTGGCTGTTGACTTTGAGGGTTTTTTTTTATTTTAATTCTATAATCTTTTATATTTTTCATTTACCAAAGCTTTTTTTTTTTTTCTTTCTTTCTGTTATAAACCATTAACATTTATGCAATAGCCCTTCCTTGCAAACAATGTTTTTTTCTTCTCAGCATTTATTTGTTTTTCAAAATTTACCTTCTCTGAAGTAAATTTACTTTCTCTGAACAGAATCTTTTCGGCTTTCCTTTGTACCCCAAGGAACCAGTACACCTCGTGGCCCTGCTCCTGATGGTGAGTCTGCTTTTCAAGCAATTAGAGTCACTTGGATGTGGGTTCAGAGCCAGCATCTCCCTTCCTGCTGCACAGATTCTGTAGGCAAATACAGCAATACCTAATTGTAAAGATAAAGGAGCAATAAGACTGATGATAACAGAAATGTCCTGAGACATTTTTCAGAAGAGAAAGAGGATGGGGAAACCTAACTCGGGGATTAAAATTTTTTTCAGGGAGATTTCAGAATAAGTTTTTTCCCTTGATTAAAACCATGGGAATTAGGAATTCTAATGGTGAGGGGAAAAAGGTGTCTGTAAGTATTTGTAGCAAATAAAGTGCTATTGCTTTCCAGCCCTTCCTAGGGCAGGATACTTTTGCTAAACGTCCTTTGTCTATTAAAGATTAATATCTATAATCAGATGCCCTGTGTTTCAAAGAAGCATTTAAGAAAACAAGCAAAAACTTAGACGTTCCTCAAATATGTACGTTTTTGAGAGGTATTTAACAACAAATACAGATTTTTCTCAATTTCTTTTTTATTCTTTCATTTTTTTTATTCCAGCACATAGGGGAGAGCCTAGACAAAGAACCTACGTTTTGTCTGGAACCGACACAACCCCTGGTGTATCACCCTACAGGACCTACATTTTGTCTGGAACCAACACAACCTCTGGTGTGTCACCCTACAGAACCTACACTGTGTCGGGAACCATCATAGCATTTCCTTGCAACCACAACCATTTCAGTTCTGTGCATTTCCTTGGTCTTAAAATTTACCTTCTCTGCGGTAAATTTACTTTCTCTGAGCAGGACCTTTCTGGCTTCCCTTTGTACCCCGAGGAACCAGTACACCTCGTGGTCCTGCTCCTGATGGTGAGTCTGCTTTTCAAGCATTTGAGTCACTTGGATGTGAGTTCAGAGCCAGCATCTCTCGTCATGCTGCACAGGTTCTGCAGGCAACTATAACAATAGTCAAGTGCA